TTTATGCATCAAATATTTACTACCCATCCAAACCACTGCCGTGCAATTGAAAAATCAACATAAGCGACAAAATATTCAAAATTGACGTTTTTATATATTTGGCATCTTTATATTGTAAGCTACATAGACCAATAAATAAATAAATAAATAAATAGATAAATAAATAAATAATTAAATAAATTCAATAGAAGAAAATTAGCAATAGAAGGAGAAAAGTTATCAAGCCACTTTTCTCGGAATCAATTGTGAAGCACTTGCGTTGTTTCTTCAATTGCACGGCAGAACACCTTTCTATTTAAAAAAAGAAATTAACTTTTTACTTTTAATTGAATTGTAGGACATCACATTATCAGGATCATAAATCAAATCTTGATCAATAAATTTTGGAAAAAATTATCGGGGTTGGGATCATTGCGCGATTTGGGGCTGTTCGCTATTTCATGTGTGATGCAAAAATATTCCATGAAAACGGATGACAAATATTTTAAAACATTTGAAAAATTATGTAAGAATGGTTAATAGAAAAGTTTAAAATACTTTCAATCAAAGTATGAAATTCATTTAAGCAAATTTTAAGAAAAAAACTTTAAGAAAAAAACTTGGATGGAAAAGCACTCAAGCAGCTAAAATCAAATTTGTTTTAGTTAAAATTATTTCAATTGTTTACATATAAACAATTTAAATAAAAAGTTAGAAACCAAAAACAAGCAAGAAAGAAATTCTAAAGATGTGTGTATTAGCAAAAACAGCACTTCATCAGGGGACACACTGTCTGTTAATACACCTTTCTGTAGTCAGTGGTTAGACCGAAAACTGTCTGTGAACCCCCCCCCCCCCCCCCNCCCCCCCCCCCCCCGTGGCCTCATAATGGATAATTCAAAATAAGAAAATGCAGCAGAAAAATGTTGCACCAAAACGCTTAAATTTCTTTTTCTAAAAATATTTAACACAATAAAATAACATAACTACCATTTGTTAAGGGTATTATCCAGTTAGCGTCCAATTGAAAATTTATTTTCTAATTTTTTAACTTTTGTCATTATTTTTTATTTTATAACCGTCGTTAAACAGTCAGCTCAATTTTAAGTTTACGACTAACAATGTTCAACTCCGTAGCCTTGTAATTTTGAACCCAATCCAGAAGACAAGGAAACTCCTGGATCCAGTCTTGGGAGAAATTTACCTTTGAGGAGGACTTTCTGATGGAACTAATCCGCATTTGCGTTTTATGGAGATTAAAACCATGAAATCCTCCCACGGTTAGCCTGACCGCAAGGGGACTCTAATCCATGATCGGCCTACCACTTCGGATATTTTACGTCAACATTATGGTTGGTGAGAGCCGGGTGTGGAATTCGCCTCAACTAGCCATCGCTGGGATTCGAACCCAAGCCACCTCATTGGTAGGCGATCGCTCTCATCCCTAAGTCACCCCGGCAATTTCTGACACTAGACAGAATTATAAATTTACTCACAAAATGTTACTATGAATAAATTTATACTTTAAAGGTCTAATACTGCAGCGTGGCACTGGGTCAAATGTCACTATATTGCGGCAAAAATCATTTCATTATTTTAATCGCTATTATTTCTGTTATACTTTCAATTAATTCAATTATATTTAATTACATATTTTAATTAATTGTTATAATTATACCCGGTGGGAAATAAACTTAAAATACTTTCAGATCGTTAAGTTGTTAAACTGAAGTTACTAAAATTAACTAAAGTTGTAAATTGCTGCCAGAATTTAAAGTTATGTCGTGTTATGCTCTCATCTTTTGAGAATTGCCTAAATTAAATGCTATTGTAATGAAAAAGGTGAATGGCTTATACTAATAAATAAGTACAAATGCGAAAAATGATAATGAAATTAGAAATAGATGACACATTCTAATCTTTCGAATCGCTTCCTGTTGCAAAAGCGAATTTCGCAATGTAATCACAATAGAGATTTTTTAAAAGATTTTATTCATCCTAATATCCTAAACAGAAGCGAAATATCATTTTGAAGTTTAACTCTTTCACAACCTGCTTCACCTATTCACCTATTTGTATCTAGAGCAGAGCTGAAAGTTAGCCGAGATAAAGAGAATAACTGGTAGCAAAACCATTTTATTCGAGGCGAGAAAAGAAACAATAATTATATATATATATATATAATTAAGAGTGTCCACCACTCTTAATTATATATATATATATATAATTAAGAGTGGTGGCTAGAATTAAGAATACTAAAAACTTAATAGTTTTATTTTTATTTAATTTAACCATAATTTTTTTTAAAAAGTAAAAACTCTTAAGAAATAATCACCGAGCTAGAGAACTCTCACACAGTTCAACAAAATAACAATAAAAGAAAAAAAGTATGAATGTTACTTTTTGCTACAATATCTGCTGTAATAATATTGACTACATTTGTTTTTGACATATTTTTGTCAATATTTTGTTGGTTATAATCTAATTTAATCATGTTCATCGTTAGCGGGGGGAAGGTGGGTATATGTCCCCCTCAATAATTAGAAATCTCTAAGGGACACCCTCAATATTTCAGGAAAATAAGGAAAATTTTCATGAATCATCATCGATTTCGGTCATCGATTGCTATGTCACATTTCTTTTTTCTTCATCTTATTGCACAAATTTTAATCTTCATTTTATAATATTACAAATACAAAAATTTAAAAAATTATCGCTTACATAATGCTTATAACTTAGTTTGAAACTATTCATAACTTGCTGTACTCATAATATGAAAAAAAAAAAAATAATCTAAATTTGATTCCGTTTTGATTTTTTAAAACAACATGAATGTTGTTTTCTTAGAACATAATTTTTAAATTTTTTTTCTTCTTCTTCACAAAATAAGAAAAAAAAGAGAAATGAGAAAAAAAAGTCGAATAATGACATTAAATAAGCTACATTTCTGAGGATTACTCAAAACTAGTCAGCTGTTTTTTAAATTCTTTAACGTTTATCGATGTAACGTTTTTCAAATTTCGTTTTTTTTAATGAAGGCGTAGAAAGTATGTACGTATTATAGTCAGCCTCAAAAACTATGGTCATGTGATGATGATGGGGTAAGACTGTCTTCTGGTCTCCCCCTAACCCCCAGGGGTGTTGAATAACTTCGCATATGGACACAAACAAAAGCCCTCAGAATTTTCTGAGAAAAATTAGTCTCAGCAGGAAGCTTGTGGTAAAGTGCAGGTAAAGAGAAAGCGTCCTTATCTTTAAGATTTTCATTAACAAATGAGGGGGAAAAAAGATTTTTAAGAATATTATTATTAAAATATAAGCATTATTTCAAGAATATAATTATCATATTTCTTTGGAAGACTCACTTTTTCCCGTTTATTTTTAAGTTTGCCTTGACGGGGGAAGGGAAAGCGATGTCTTGCCTCTTCGACCCTCTACTGGCGCCCCCCCCCCCTTGCGTATTAGCACACATAGCATAAGCGAATCCTACTAGAGGACTTTCTTCTATGTCCATTCTTGATCTTTTGTAAGTTCCTGAGAAATTATACTCCCCCAGTGCTGTTATATGGAGCAATGTTTCAGAGTTCCGCATCCCTAGAACTCTCAAGGGGATCCCCAATTCTGATATTCGAGCAAAATAAATAAATAAATAACTAAAATCACGTAAATCAAGCTAAGTGATTCATCTATTTTTCTAGAAGTACCATAGAAAGAGGATATTTAAAGGACCCCCGATGTTTAGAAGTCTTAAGATTCCCATTCGATTTTATTAAACTAAGCCTTCAGTAAATTGTTCCAGAAAGAAATATAAATTACATTTTTTCAATCGAATTTCAACTTTTTAATAAATAAAAAAAAATTAAGTATGGAAATAAAAACATAGTTTAATTTTATTTTTGTCAAACTGAATTTTACCTCCTTTAGAACTGAATTTTTCCACTATTACGTCAATGGTAAATTGGTAGAATTTATTACTCAGCAAAGAAAAAAAAAATAATAATCTAGGATACAATTTAATCTCCCCCCCCCGGGAAATTTAAAAAACAAACAAACATCTGATTCATAACAGTAAGTTTTTGCCTTTATACCAATGGTAAATGAATAGATTTAATTAATCAGCGAAGTGAAAAAAAAAATCTTTTTCCAATGTAATTTTTTCCCCGCTGAAAGTGTGAAAAAAATCTCCGTCAGAGCTGAATTTTTCTGCCTTTACATTAATGGTAAACTAATAGATTTTATGAATATTCAAAGAAAGAATTATTAAGATAAATCTAGTTACAATAAAAATTTTTTCCTTCAAAGGCTTGAAAAACATCTACTTCAAAATAGATTCTTTCTGCGTCAATAATAAATTAATAGATTAAAATCTGCAAAGGAAAAAATAAATAAATTAGTTACACAGTTTAATTTTTCTCCGCCAACAGATTAAAAAAATACCTGCTTCAGAAATTAATTTTTCCTGCCTTCGTTTTAATGTTAAATTAATAGATTTTTATGAATCTGCAAAGTGAAAAATAAAGAAGAAAAAAAATCTTTTTACTTTGCTCCCTCCGAAGGTTTGAAAAATATTTTTTATCCGAATTTTCTAATCACATAAGAAATTAATAGATTTTATTTATATTAAAAAAAAAAAAAAAAAACAGATAAATCTGAATGCAATTTCGTTTTTTATTTCCTCCAAAGGTTGAGAAATATCTGCTTCAAAACAGAATTTCTCTGCCTTTATGGTAAATTGATATATTTAATTAATATGCGAAGAAAAAAATTAGATAAATCTAGTTGCAATTTGATCTTTTTATCCACCAAAATAAAAAATAGTTGTTTTGAAACAAAATTTTTCTGCCTTCGCATCATTATAAAGGGAAAAAAAAAATCTTTTTACTATTTAATCGTTATTTTTATTTTTTATGAGAGTTTGAAAATATCTCTTTCAGTGCTGAGTTATTCTTCCTTTACATCAATGATAAATTAATAGATTTTCTTACTATTCAAATTCAGATAAATCTGGTCACAATAAATTGTGTATCTTAACTCTTTTTTCCTTCAAAAGTTTGAATATTATCTGCTTCAAAGCAGCATTTTTCTGCCTATGCATCAATGGCAAATTAATAGATTTAATGAATCTGTCACGAATAAGAAATTAAGATAAATAATAATAAAGAGATAAGAAAAACTAAGAGATAAAGCCTCTCATCAAAATTAGTACTGAACGATGCATGAAGAGTTGAAAGAGAGGGAGAGAAGGGTTGAGGAAAGGAAGAAAGGGGGAGAGGACATCATCCGATCTGTTTTTATCTATGATTAAGAGAAATGTAATATCGATTGTACGTTTTTATTCTTCCAATTCTAGTCATCAAAGATATTTTTAATTCCTCCTTGATCCTCAAAAGAAACAATGAAATATTTTTGCATAATTTATCCTTGAATCAAAACAAGCTATGAATGATGGTCTATGTTTTGGTTTGTCGTAAGATATCTGTATGGCATTTGGCGGTTTCTAGCAGAAACACTCCTTCCGTTTCAGGAGATTGATTGCTTACTCCTTTTTAAAACTCCGATGCAACTATGTCTTCGAGTGACAAAAGACGTGTTCGAAGGTATTTATTTCATAAATATAATTTTAAGGTATTAAAGAAAATAAACCTGGCGATCATTTCTGTGTTGACTATCCTTACATAATTTTTTTTATCATTTTAATTGTAGTCGCATAAAAGAAAGTTTTTGTTTATTTATATCTTAAAAAGAATTTATATACATATCAAATATTTCAAAAACGTGAAAAGACTTTTTTAACTAAAGTTGTTTTCACATAAATCGCATCTATTTTCAGCCAAAGGCGATAAAACGTTTTTGTGGTAACCACCTATTTTGGAGCCAAATTCAATATTATTAATTTACGCATGTTTAATATTCTAAAGTGAATGGCGTAGTTTATGTAAATATGCAACTAGTATCTTTTACTTGCCTACTCTTTTGATGTAAGCATTACGTCATGAAATTCTATAGTAATGTCATCATCTATTTGCATAAAGAGAAGTTTTTTCACTTACATCAATTTTAAAGAAATCTCAATTCTTGTCTTTCAATTATGGTTTTAAAAAAAGTTTATTTATTATTAATTGTACCCAATTCATTTAATGAGCGTTTGTAAACAATAGTAATTAATAATAATTGAAAGGAACAAAAACATTAATCGAGCAAGTTATCAGGAGCAAATAAAATTAAAGGAAAGTCTGATTTTTATTTACTCTGAGTTCGTAAAAGAATATTTATTTAAATAAATTTATATTTTTAAAATAGCATAAAGTCGCAAAATGTCGTTTTTTATTTTAACTGTCATTACAATTAATCAGCTCTTCAATTTGTTTACACTTAGTTGCGCCCCTTTGATGTTGTAAACCCTTATAATTTTCTTTTGTAATCTTATTTTAAATTAAAGCATGAAATGTATTGTGTTATTAACTTAATTTTATTTCGGACTATTGCTTTATATAAATTACAAATTAATTGCTTATGTTTCGGGATTTTGGACAAGTGAAATTAAGGTTATTTTATATTTAAGTACTCAATTAGAGTTCATTAAAATAATTGTTTGAGAGACTTCTTGATTTAATTTTAAGATAGTTTTCATATAAATGAATTTAAAACAATATAAAAAAATTTAAAACAATATAAATTGTGTGTAATATACTACAACATAAAGTTTGTTTCATGTAATATTTGTGCTTTTTCATGTTTTAACTTCATTTATTGCAGGCCTGGATACCTGTTTATAATCTTGAAATATTTCTCTAAAATTAGTAACTAAAGATAAGCTAATTAAAGAACCATTGCTATTTTATTTAATTTTGAAACTTTTATTTATTGAAAACTCACATTAATGCAAAGCATAATTGTATTATATATGGCATTTTTAATTATGCATGTGTTGAAGCATATACTAGGGAGTGACTAGTTTTACTCCTTTTTTTTTTTACCTAGCCATAAAAATATATTATCATATTTTTATTGATAATCTTTAGTCAATTTTTTGTCAAGCATGTTTAAAACTTTTTAAATTTAAAGATTTTAAATTGGTTTTTATTTAAATTTAAAGATACACTTTTTATTTATTTTAATTTGGTAAAATGAAATGAAAATACATCACCAAAGATCTGGGGGTTTCGATATGATGGTAAGAACTGTTATGCATCAAAATCTTGTCAACCCTGAAATTAAAACACATTATTTGTGAACATTAATAATACAAATTAATTTAGCGTTTTTTAATTTAAGTGAAGGATGCATAACCTTTTTCAGAAGAGAGTTGCAGAAAAATTTTTTTGGCTCCCAAGAGCCGCAATGAATATTTTTTTTTATCAATTAATGTCAACTTAATTATTCATTAGGGTAAGGAGACAATATCAGTTTTCTGTTAAAAATTATTAAATTGTGCAAAAAAAATTTATTTTGTATATAAATTTATTATTATATGGACAATAATTAAATGCAGCAATACTACTTTTGTGAAGAAAATTTTTATTTATTCTATAAATAAAATTTTTTATGTTGTTAATTTTTAAATATCTTTAATTTTTAATAAATATTTCATTTGAACATATTTGGTGCAAGTAAATTTTTAAATAACCAAAATGTCAAAAAATAAATTTATGAATAAGATTTCTGTTTTTAAGTATGATTATAAATATGAATCACAATATTATTTAAATATTAGTTAATAAATATTCATTATCAATTATTTAAAAAAAATTTAGCTCTCATTAATTAAAAATAAATCTTATTTTGATAATTTTTATCCCATTTTCTTTTATTTTTTTCTTTGCTGCATACAATGCTGATTTTTTTCATGCAGTTAATTATTTTTGCGACTATAACCAAATTTTTTTTTTTTAATCTATTGGTTAAGTTAGTTTGTTATTTATATACAGTAAAATAAGAAAATATAATTATGTATAATTATATATTGTACTTAGTTAAAATCAATACGCTGATCATAACATATTGGGAAAAACCAATTTCATTTTTATATTAAATAGTATAATTATAAATGCTATTTATTGTATTATATTAATTTTGTTTCCCAAATAACTGAAACAGACATCCTTTCATTTTATTTTCTAAGCAATGAAATTCATTAGAATGAATTAAATAATATTGGTACTACTACAATATTTAAAGAAATTGCAGTAATTAATAATTGATTCATTAAAAAATAAAATTTCCTTTAACAAAATACAATTCATAGTGAATTTCATCCCTGAATGATATCCTTGAATAATCCCCCCATTTCATCATTTTAAATTTTCGAAAATATATAAACTTTGTTACATTTCATAAACTAATTAGATATATTGGCTCTCTTATTTCTTACCCATATTAAGTCTAACTTTTTCTTTAAATTCCTCCAGGAAAAATATTAATTTCATTTTAGATGTAAGTAAACAAAAAATTCTCTTATCAAATTATGATACAGTTACATTATTGACCCTGACTCATCTATTCCAAAACTGATGACTTTAATGAAAAGCAAAGCATTTCAATTGAAGTAGGTACAAATGATCTTTCTCACTGAAACAAGAATTATATATTATTCTTTTTTCCTCCCTCTGTCTTTTCTCTTATTCTTTTGTGAAATAAAATTTGAAAAAACAAAACAAAAATGTATTAAAATGAAAGTTTTAAAATTTTTATCATAACATGCCACATTAAGGAGGCCAGTTTAAAAATAATAATAATTTATTTGCTCTTATTTTTTTACTAAACACTTTCTTCCATTATCACTTTCCATGTTGGCCCCTTGGTGGAGTCCTTCAATAATTTTGGGGTCTGGGGCGCTGCAGCCCAGTAACATTAATTTTAATCCGGCCCTGCTGGTGCATGGAAATGCTACAGATTCAAACTTTAAGTTATATATTTATAGGCAGTCAATGTCTGGGGCACATTTGCTACAGCTTGAAAAAGAAGCTCAGTTAGAAGGCAGCAATCTATCAGTTGCCACCCCTGAAGAATTTGTTAGACGATTTGGTGGTAATCATATCATCAACAGAGTGAGTTAAATTAATATCTTTTTATTATTCCTAAATGCATTTATAAATATTGCAACTTTCTAATACTTTGATTTTCTTTACTCTCACATTCTTATTTAAACTTTTTCTTAATTTCAATTTCCTTTTTTTTTGAACCATAGTCATTTCAATGAAACGATGTTACAGAAATAAAATTTTTAAAAGCGAAATGTTTTAGTTTAGAATTAATGTTAAACTTTAATACTGATACATTACTTATTCTATTTTACAGTCCTGCAAAAGTTTCAGACTGTAGCGTAACTACCACTACGAAAATTAAACATCAATTCACTGGTATATAAGACATGCTAACTTGATTCAATTACGAGGTACCTTTTGATAGATGAAGGTTGGCATGATCGATAACTCCGCCCCCACATTGGTGACCTCCGGATGCGATTTGAACACGCAGTAGCGCCCACTTCGCAAAACAACTTGACGGTAACCCCTACTTCGATGGATAGTCCACATTGAACAGTTGACTTGCTACTTGTGACTGCAAAATGCAACAACGAACGCTACGACGTGATGTTAATACACCTCTCACATTCAGCACTCAACAAAGCTTTCCCGATCATCCACAAGTACAGCAACTAGTGTTATCAATTCATCAAATTCTATCCCTGATAAAATTCTGGTGGGGGAGTATTGTAGCGTAACTACCACTACCAAAATTAAACATCAATTCACTGGTATATAAGACATGCTAACTTAATTCAATCACTAGGTACCTTTTGATGGATGAAGGTTGGCTTGGCCAATAACTCCGCCCTCCACAAGACCATTTATCTTTGTTCATACTCAAGGTCGGTTAAGATCTCCTTGTAGGTTTATTAGGTAATAAAACAAAATCTTGGTTTAGCTTCTTGAAATAGTATTCCTGCTAACATTAGTGTACTTCCCAACCAGATTATAGTAACTTTTTTATGAACTTACTTTAGATCACATGATGATTACATGCACTAGTTTTTCTTGAGCAATTGCTTCTCTTCACGTCTGCGAATTTTCTAGAAATGTTATATTTACAGACTGCTTGATAAACATCTGTGTTCGCATATACTCCCTTACCTATTTTACACTTTTAAGCCAATTTTTTACAGGGTCACTATTTCCACCCTTTTTACAATTGTAAATGGGTTTTTCATCCATTGCAATAATTTCACAACAGCATCTGTTAATGGTGATGCCGATCGCAGAATTGATGATAAACGGAATAGAACTATTTATTTATATGCAATCAACTCGCAAGATGATGTAATAATCTAACCAGTACAGATATAAAGTGTTTAAGTACCAAAAATGTCCTATGCTCTTAATTTATTTTGAGTTTCAGCTATGTAGTCTTCAAGTTATTTAAAATAAAGAAAATAAAAAAACACAGGCTTCCTAAAATATATGTTTAAATATCTTTACTCTTTTTTTTTTTTTTTTTTTTTAACTTTAAGACCAAGCTGGATTTAAGTGGGTTACAGAGAAAAAACATATTCTTTTTTTTTTTTTACTTTTTTTAAATTTTATAAAGGAATTGTTGTATTCAAATTTTATGCATTTAAAATAAAAACTGTTCAATATTTTCTGAACTTATAATAAAAAAATTTTTGAAAATTAAATTGATGAGATCAGATTTTCGGGTATCCCTTTCTCAAAATGGTTAGAAACACTCATGATAGCTGTATATTAAATTAAAAAAACCCCATATATTTCCTGTTAGTTGATGAGTATAGCTCTGAGCTGAATAAAATATATTTTTAAAAAAGAGGAATTTCTAATTTTTGGCTGAGTTGTAACCAAAAAAAAAATTTTTTTCCCCAAAAAATCTAGTGAAATAAATCACTGTGAATAGTATCACTGTGAAATAAATTAGGTTCAAAGAAAAATTTTTTTTGTTCAGTTCTTAATCAATTCAGTTCTATCAGGAAGAAACATGTTGAATTTCAATATTATTAGTGTATTAGTTTTTTAGAAACTTCTTAAAGGGAGTTTTTTTGGAAGTTCTAGCAATATTTTACTAAGAATTAGTTTTATTTTTCTATATTGTGTGCAAACTCTGTGTAATATCTTTTTTTATTTTAAGGTTTTAATAGCAAATAATGGGATTGCTGCAGTCAAATGTATGCGCTCAATCAGACGATGGGCTTATGAAATGTTTCGAAATGAAAAAGCTATTAGGTTTGTTGTAATGGTGACACCTGAAGATTTAAAAGCTAATGCTGGTAAAAATTTTATTCATTTGCTTTTTAATTTTTTAATGCTATTAATATTCTAAAATGAAACTTTACCTCAAACAGAATATATCAAGCTAGCTGATCATTATGTTCCTGTTCCTGGTGGTGCCAATCATAATAATTATGCTAATGTAGAACTTATCCTGGATATTGCAAAGCGTATGAATGTTCAGGTATGGTGATATATTTTATACTTCAAACACTTATTTTCAATGAATTTTGGAGTTATGGATGGCTGACTGAATATAAACAATAACAAACTACCTAAAATTGGAAGAAATTTAGAAAATTTCCAGTGTATCGATCTGCTTATCTTATACTTACGAGGCTTAATATTCTAGGAAAATTTATTAGTGTGATTTGTGTTTAAATTTATGCATAATTTGAACATTCATAAGAATTTTCAGTAATTGATGAATTCTAATAGGGCGTTGTTATGTTGGTATGTTTAAATTAATTCTGTTAATTAGTTATGGGCACAATTTTTTTTTTGGGGCACCGCGTTTTAATTTAATAATCTCATTCTTCCTTTTAATCCATTTTTATTATAATCAACAACCCCATCCAATAGTTTCCTTTCACCCCTACTCTTTAACACCATCCAATATTTTTCTTTCACCCCTACTTGAAAATGGATTACTTCACAAGTGTGAATAGTGAACGATTACAGCGCCGCCTTTTGGCGCGGAAGAATACACCAGCGGGAAAAGAGCGGCAATTCGTTTTTTGGGCATTCCCTGTTTTGACGAGCCTTGGTGAGGGAGTGAAGATTGTTGGTGCGGGAGTGGCCGGCCACACGCGCTTTAGGATAAGTCCTTAACTTTATTTTTTTAAAAATTGTTATGTACCCGTATTTTTATTTATTATTTTATTTTTATATGATGATAACCCAAAAAAAAAATGATTATCTTTAAATAATCTGTAGGACTGAAATGTAAACTCATATAGCAGTAAACTAACTCTTGTTAATTTGTAACCTAACTTGACTTATGATTAAGTTCTTTAAATAAAAACATTTAGCCTAGAATAGTTATGTTGTTGGATGTGAATCCTTTAAGTTACTTTTATCTTTCAGCTAATCAAGATTATTATTGTAGTAATAGTAAACATGCTAGTAATTTTAAATTAACTTAAGTCACTTCTACATGTTATATCTAGTAAATTATGTTAAATAAAGGTAAAAATTTTCACAACGCAAACTTTATTAAATCACTTTTGATTCCTTAAATATATTTTTTTATTATTCAAAAATAAGATATAACAATTGGTGCCGTTGACCAGCGGCCATGTGTTAATGCTAAACATTAAAAAATTAACTTGCTGGTCGTTAACTTTAAGTAATATAAAATTATTAATGCTGAATTTAATTGTGATTACCAAAAAAAATTTTTTAATAATATATATATGAATGATTGCTTAAATCTTGATTGAATTAATTTTTGTTACTGCTATATGAGCGCGTTATTTTTGTCGAAGCACTACATCTGCGTATGCTTCATTTTTACTCTCTTGTTATTGTAAGGATTATTGTATTTAATTGTATAATTGTGTTCATTTTATGGGAATTGAAAGGAATCTTAACTCCTCACAATCTTAGTCAATCACGTGTACTTTTAAGTTTAGGGTTAAAAACAATATCCCAACTTGTTTTATATATTTTGTGTTTTAGGAATGTTTTAAGATTTTCATGAGATATTTGAGTTTTTACAAGAAAACATGGATTGCACCTGTTGTAAATTGATAGGGTTAATTATTGAATGGAATCCATAAACGTCATCTGTAATATCAATCAGGATATTATTTTATGTTTTATATAGTCACAAATGTTAAAGCCTTTGATTTTATTTTAAATTTATGTAATTTTTGGCGCGTTTCATGTGTAGGAAATTTCTTATAAATTTTATTAGTTAAACCTTATATCGTAAATGGCAGAACCTCGGACAGACACTGCGTCTTCGGATCCTGCTGCAGCAAACAGAATTGATATTATTCCTGTGGTCAAAAGCCACACGATCTCAGAATTTTTACCCTTAATCCCTAATTTTGATGGGAATTCGAGTTTTTCCAAATTTTTCGACAAGTTCAATTCCATTGCAGAATACTGCAACTGGGATGAAAATGATAAAATTTTAGCGCTATCTTTACGCCTCACTGGCGAAGCACAAGAATTTATAAACACACAACGAAATTTAAAACAAGCGAAAGATTTTGATTTAATAGTTAATTCTTTAAGGGATAGGTTTGAGACGAAGTCAAACATGGCTTTAAATATCACTAAACTTACACAGGCATATCAACTGGCATGCGAAAATGCCAGGCAATTTTTTAGCCGCTTAGAGGGTATATCATACAACTGTGTACCAAATAATAATAGTACTGAATTTGAGGATTATCGACAACTACTCTTGTTCTCAGCTGCTAAACAGGGTCTGAGGGTAGAGTTACTGAGAGGAATAGCCTCAACGGCTTTAAACAGCTATAATGAATTTAAGAAGCATGCAACTTACATTCAAAGAAAATTTTAAGGTTATTGAACCGCTAGAGCTAGCAGCTACTATACAAGCTAAATCAGGAGAAAAACCAGATAACAAAATAGATAGCCTCACTGATAAAATTGAACAGCTCACCGTAAAATTAAATGATATGCAAGTTCAACTAAATGCACAGAGCATTCATTCAAATAAAGAAAATCCACACTGGATGCGAAATGTTAATAATCATCTTCAGGCTCAGTCAAAGAAAAAATGCTTTAAGTGTAACAAGTTAGGCCGCATAGCTAAATATTGCCGAATTCCATTTTGTAATTTTTGTAAACGTAGCGGACGTTCATCGGATACTTGTTTTAAAAAGAATAAAAGGTTAAACTAATTGGGGGAGAGACCGCTGCACCACCTGTCTCTGTTGGTATCCCCGGTGTGGTGTTTAATGATTGTCAGAATTTAAATCAAAATATAAAAAGTACACTTTCGGTTGAAAGCCCAGAGCTTATCCCTAGCCTTAACAATTATAAAAACCTTCCCATTATAGGAGTAAATATTACAAATTTAAATTATTTTGCTCTCTTAGGCACTGGATCTACTGTAAATTTAATCTCCGAACACATTTTAGACGAATTGAGTTTGACTAGTAAACAAAATAATTGTAGAGTGGAGGTACAGAATTTCAATGGAGGTCGTGTAAGCATAAACAAATCAATAAATTTGAGTTTCAAAATCGATACTAGTAGATTTTCGACAGATTTTTTTTATCCTACCTAAACTTTCTAGAGATTATGATATGATATTGGGTTTTCCCTATTTAAGTAAAAATAAACTGATATTAGATTGTAAAAACAAAATTTTGAAAAATGATGAGCTTAATGTGAATCTAATGTATGTAAATTCTAATGATACCTGTAATGCTTGCAAGTTAGAGGAGGGAATTCCTTTTTATGCAAATAAGAAAATAATTGTACCCCCTTTCTCGCAGTTAGCAGTTCCTGCTCGTTCTAAAAACAAATTAATTAAACATACTGAACAAATACTTCTTTTGCCCAACAAAAATATAGACAATCTTTTAATTGCAAGGACTGTTTCCTTGACTTCTGATAAACTATTTATAAATGTCATGAATGTAGGTGAAACTCCTATTCATATAAATAAAAACTCGTCTCTTGTTAAAATGGAATGTTTGTTCATATCAAATAAAGAAAAATGTAATAGCATTCACACAGCTCAACTTGGAGAGGATTTTGAGTGTTGGGGTGGAAATTTTTCGCTTGATCATTTAGATGCTGAACAAAGGGATAGGTTGTTGGAATTTTTAAAAGTTTACGAGGATGTTTTTGCTCACTCGGTTGCAGATTTATCTGAGGGATGCGGAACGCTGTTACATAAAGTTGATTTGTCAGATGACATTCCAGTCAGGCAACGTCACTATAAACTCCCACACCATCTAAAACAAGAACTTGATAGACAAATTAGTGAATTGCTTGATATTGGTATAATTAGTCCAAGTGATTCATCATATGCAGCCCCCGTGGTTTTAGTGAAGAAAAAGGATCAATCATATCGCTTATGCACCGACTTCAGGAAATAAAATTTAAAAACCTTACCCGATTCATTTTCCATACCCTGCATTACCGATTTAGTAGATAATCTGGCTGACGCAACGTTATTTAGCTCATTGGATTTATGCAGTGGGTTTTTTTCAAATGAAAATTCATCCTAGCGACAGATATAAGACCGCTTTTGCCACCGAACACGGTTTCTACGAATGGAACAGGGTACCCTTTGGGTTAAAAAACTCCCCAAACAGCTTCCAACGATTAATGTCTTTAGTTTGATCAGGTTTAAAACCCTAGCAAATAGCCGTATACTTAGACGATATTATAATAGCCTCGAAAACCGAAGAAGAGCATTACAAAAAATTGCAGCTAGTCTTTGAACGCCTTCGCCAGCACAAACTGAAACTAAAACCGTCAAAATGTTCATTTCTAAAAACAAAAATAAAATATTTAGGGTTCCTAATAACCGATGGCAAGGTTTTTCCCGATAAAGATAAATACCTACTCTTTAACACCATCCAATATTTTTCCTTCACCCCTACTTGAAAATGGATTACTTCACAAGTGTGAATAGTGAACGATTACAGCGCCGCCTTTTGGCGCGGAAGAATACATGAGCGGGAAAAGAGCGGCACTTCGTTTTTTAGGCATTCCCTGTTCTGACGAGCCTTGGTGAAGGAGTGGAGATTGTTGCTGCGGGAGTGGCCGGCCATGCGCGCTTCAGGATAAGTCCTTTACTTTAATTTTTATGTGCCGGTATAATTATTTTATTTTTATATGATGATAACCCAAAAAATAAATTATTTTCTTTAAATAATCTGTAGGACTGAAATGTAAACTCATATAGCAGTAAACTAACTCTTGTTAATTTGTAACCTAACTTGACTTATGATTAAGTTCTTTAAATAAAAACATTTAGCCTAGAATAGTTATGTTGTTGGATGTGAATCCTTTAAGTTAAAGTTACTTTTATCTTTCAGCTAATCAAGATTATTATTGTAGTAATAGTAAACGTGCTAGTAATTTTAAATTAACTTAAGTCACTTCTACATGTTATATCTAGCAAATTATGTTAATTAAAGGTAAAAGTTTTCACAACGCAAACTTTATTAAATCACTTTTGATTCCTTAAATATATATTTTTATTATTTAAAAATAAGATATAACAGCGTGAGCCTGAAACAAATTTAACAAAATTAATATCACAGTATTAATAAAGTGCAAGGTTAGCCATGTTTTGAGTGTTATCTCTTATTTGGCTATACTTGTCTAAAATAGCACCATTTGTTATTTTTTGAGTAGTATTATAGCAAGCCTGCTAAGTCTTCCGAATTCATTTGTTTTTTGTTTCGTTGAAAGTTAAATTGAGAGAATGTGTTATATTGTAAATACTATTAGTATAATAATATTAGATGACTCTCTTTTTCAAGTTTAGGCTTAAAAATCAATTGGAAGTAGTAACCTGGAAGTATTACGACGAATTTCAACCCCTAAACCCATCTGTGCTTCTCTTAACATGGTCAACCATCCATAACAGTTTTCTCACATACTTGAAATATGCTTTAATTTTTTATGATTAATTAATGCCTGTTAGTCTTTAAAGTTAAATGAAGAAAAACATTGCAAATATTAATTAATCAAAACTATTTTAGATCAAAATTAATTCTGTTTTGATTTTACCAGATATTTTATAAGTGACAATTGATTAAGTAATTAATTTTATGACTTGTTCCCTCTTACCTCATGTCAAGAGGTGTCTTGTGTGGACAAATACGACTTTTTTTAGCAGAAAGAATCTATTTTAGAGTAGATGTTTTTCAATCCTTTAAGGGAAAAAAATTAAGTTGTATCCAGATTTATCTTAATATTTCTTAAAAAAAATTATATATGCAAATAAGCTAATGTATCATTTAAAAGGAATCTCGTTAGCACCCTCAATATGAAGGTTTTAATTATTGATATAAATACATTAAATATTAAGTATTAAGTGCGGACTTAATAGATCTTTTTACTAAGTGTTTAAAGGCAAATTGTTTGTGAATATCATAGTTTTGCACACTTTTACTGTCTTTCATGCAATAGTGTTCTTAAGAATCATATTGCTTTTAATTCATAATATAAAATAAAATGATTAAATTAGCATTTTTTTTTGAAGAAATAAAATTTTCAAGCAAATTTCATCTAAAAAAAAGTTGTATTTTGAATAGTGATTTATTTAATCATAATTGCAAAGATTTTGTTCTTCTGACTTTTGTTATTACTATATTTAGTAGTTTTTAATTAAGTTTAATATTTGTAATTTCATGCTCTACTGTTTTCTAATGAGCATGTAACTGCTAATATTTTCATGTTCAGTGCAATTTAAATGTAACCCAATTTTTTAAATATTATGAATTAACTGCTAATATTAAAATTACGATATTTTGAAGAGATTTAAAATTTTAAAAAGCAATCTTTTCTCTTAATATTTCTGTAAGACACATTTTATTGAAATTGAATTAAAAAAATTGTCGGGAAAACTGATTTGTTATGTGCCTGCAGCCATTTTTTGGGATTTTTTTTCTCGCCAACATTGGTGATATTGATTCCCGATGTGGTAATAGCATTAAGTGTGATATAATGATTGGGAGAGTGGGTGAAGTAGATGTTTTTACTTAATATATTCACTGTTTTTTCCCCTTCAAGTTTAAGTGTAGTTGCCCGATATAAATTTGTAAGGATTCACTACTGTTTTTTTTTTAACTACTCTGATACATCCACAAAATCTTCATTAGACCTGAAAATAAGCAGTCGCCGCCTCTCTTCACATGGCAAGTCAACAAAAAAAAAAAGATGACAACTTAAACTAAATGAACTACCGGTGACTTTTTCAGATTGTTTTTTTAAAATTTTTTTAAAATTTATTTTTTGAATATCATTTAATGATAAAAGTGCATCAACACAGAAAGACTCTTGAAAACAGAATTGTCATTAAAATGTTCAATGTTTCAATTCAAAATTTTGATCCTTCAGAATCTATCAATTTGTGATGGAAAGATTCATGTGGAAGAAAAATTCTTTAACAGTTCACATATTTCAAAGTTGTATTGTATATGTTAAATGTATTTTGCCTCCCCAAATATTTTTAAATAAAGTTCTTTAAAGTCGGTATTTTTAACTAAATTTTGTCACATATTTATATTATTTTTATCCTTGAACTAACTTTTTGTAGCTGCAGTTTATTTCTAATATGAAATGTTTTTAAAAATATTAATTTAATCCAAGAAAAAAATAAGTATTTATTAAATGAAAAGGATCTATCATATTGGTCACTGACTTTTTTGCTTTGAGGAAAAAGTGACTACTAATTCATTATTCTACTGGTCACAGGCTACTAGCAGAAAATTTAAATTTTTAGGTCTAATCTTCCTATCCATGTTTATAGTAAATTTAAGTGCAATTATTTCCTGTTAGAATTTTACAAGGAATTCACTATACTAATGTTTTTTTTATGGTTAAAGAACTGTGCAGATATTTTTTTCATTGTTTAGATAAGAATTCTCAAATTAATCTTGATGTGATTCACAGAATCTTAGTACCTGAGTGTAACTACCATTTTTAGTTAGAGGCATTTTGTTTTGAATAGTGCCTGGGAATGTTGAATTTGCTGTTCATGAAAGAAGTATATTTGTTGTATGAGAAAATATTTAATATGCCTGTGGAATCAGTATTACATTTATTATTGCTGTTTATCTGATAAAATGATGTTTAACGATAGGCATAATTTTAGTTATTTTGACAGAAAGAAATAGGATGCACATTTTATAAGTAACTTCAATGTGTTTATATTTTATGCATTTATTATAGTAGGTATCTTTTTATGGTATGCATATTTAGCATTGTTAAATAATATAATAATTGTGTTGTGTGTGTATATTTCAATATTTTATGAAGCAGAGTGATAACAAAACTGTTGCCTGGGGTTAACCTATTTGATATAGATCTGCCGTTATTTTATTAATGAAATGTATGTTTGTGCTAAAAAATGATTAATACCAGTAAACTTTGAATTTAATAGGGTTGTAATACTTTATTTTGTTTTTGGCGTCATACGCAGATGCATAAGAAGACTGTTGCCTGTGGTATAATATTTGATATAGATCTGCCTTTATTTTATTTTTGAAAAGCATGTTGTGTGGTAAAAAAAAACCGTAATGCAAGTGTATTTCAAATTTATTAGTGTTGAAGTATTTGATTACTTTTTGGCATGTGATGAAAGCAGCACCAATAAAAATGAGTCAAAAGTAGTTTTCAATAAAAAAAAAAAAATTGCTGAAAATCGGGTGCTAGTGCATAACAAATCAGTACCAATAGGTGCATTATTATTGTTTATATGGTTTACACTAGCATAAAGTTTGGAAAAGACGCGTTGATGCTTAGGAAGTAAGATTAGTGCTACGAAATCAAATTGGCTGTTGGAAACTAATGAATAAATTAATGTTGATTTTCAGGTTGTTTGGGCTGGCTGGGGACATGCTTCAGAAAATCCAAAATTACCAGAACTTTTAAATAAGAATGGAATTGCATTTATGGGTATAATTTTTATTTTAATATTAATTATAATAACTTGCTTTATTGTTTGTTTTAGGAAAACATGAATTTTTTTTAAAAAACATATTTTTTAATAAAGTTTATTGATTGCATAGTAAATTCAAAATCTATACATTTAATTTCATATTGTTCTTTATCTTTTGAAATAAATTTAATTAGTTAATAAAATTATTTTTATGAAATCAATAAAGAGTGCTGTCAAAACTTAAAGATCTCTTTGAATATTATCATAAAAAGTTGGATTTTTGTTCTCTTTAAATATTTAATCAAATTTCTTAGAAATGTAATTACATTCTTGTGTATTATTGCATGTCAAAAATACTCAGAAAAGTTTTATTTCTTTTTGCAAAATAACAAAATATTAAATAGAAAATGTTCTTAAGGCCAAAGATTAATGTTTAATTTATCAAAAGCCATAATTTTATTAATCATAACATAAAGTCTAACTCTTTGTTCAATGGAAATTTTATAAGTTATGTTCATGTTGTTAAATTAGTGAAATTGGATGAAATTTTAAGAAATTATCAAGTATATAAGAAAAAACAGCGCAGCTTTAACAGAGTAATCTTAAAATTTGGTGAATGTATATTCTATTCATCAATGCAAAATGTATTGTATCTATATAATTTTTATGGATTTCAGAAATTTTTTTTGTAAAATTAATTCTATCAAATTGTGCAAACTTAAAATTATTGATTTTTGTAAAAATGTTGAATTTCACTTTTAATTATAGATTGTGATTACAGAAAAATAATTGAACATTCAAAGAGTTTAATGAAAATAGTTTCTAAGTGACATTTTAGGGAATTTGAGTAAATTGGCTTTAAAGTTTTGTTAAGTTGGCTTTAAGTTGGTTAAAGTTGGCTTTAAAGTAAAGCTTGTTTTTTCTTACGTTATGCATTCTCTCTGTTTTTTTCCATATTTGTGGAGGCAATTTTGGGTTATGTTGATTTGGTCCGAATTCTCTATGAGGGAGGATTTTTAATGCATAAAGAACTTTAGAGTTAGTGACCGGATTTTCACACACAATGTTGCACATCACATGATTTGAGGTGTCCACTTAATGTGTCTCAATTTAATAGTGTTCACCATTAATATGAAATTAAGCACAAAAATATACTTAAACTGTAAAGATTAATTTGTCTGCTTTCTTTTTAAGGATTTATTTTAATGAACATGTTTTCAGTAGTTCAAAAAAACAGTTAGTTCGTTTTGAATTAGAAAAATATTTTCTTTGGAATAATTATTTTTTTAACTAAATATTAAGCACTGAAAAAGTTAATTTTACAAGACCTAAGTGTTAGTGAAAAGTCCTAATTGTTTTTAATTTTTTATTTTTCAGGTCCTCCTGAAAAAGCTATGTGGTCTCTAGGAGATAAAATTGCATCATCGATAGTTGCTCAGACTGCTGGCATTCCTACTTTACCTTGGAGTGGTTCAGGTATAATGCTCTTAAATCTTTTGCTTATCATATACAGGTTTATTCAGTATAGTAGTTACAAACTTGGAGTGAAGGTCGGATATATTTGGAAACACATCATTGCATACCATTCAGTTTTATTCTATGATAACATTGCAATCAATGACATTACTGACAACCCATGGTTAAAGTTGCTTTCCTATCATGGTCTAACTGTTTGAGTATATTTTAATGAGTACTTTTATTTACCTGACTTAATGTTAAAGTTATGTTTTTGAATCAATCACTGCTTTGTCATAATTTACTGATTAGGTAATCGAATTGGCGAGCTCTGCAAGATAGTCACAAAATCAAAACCTATGATATAACTCAAAATCTGAATTCATTTTACTGTATTTTTTGACAAACTTTATTAGGGAACATGAAATGAATTAATATAGAATTAGGATAATTTATATAAGTAAAAGTACTAGGTCAAATGCGCATAAAAAGGTAGTATACAATAGGAAAGTATCCAGGGTGGCATCTGATGACATTTCAGACCATAGATTACTGTGCAGTTCTCATTTCTTATGATGTGCCCTACATCTCCTTCAAGTTTGTAACAGCCGCATTGAATCACTCTGTAGATTTTTGTCCTTAACCTATGCATAATTTTTAAATATTTCATTAGATGCCATCACAGATTTATAGATTTCATTAAGTCTGATAGTTCATTATGATAATAAAAGAAACCTCAAATTTTTTTGCTACTTTTTTAAAAAACTCAGATTAGTAGTTTCATTAGTAACTTTTTATGGAGAATTTCAAGTCAAAATTTTTGAAATGAATGATATAAAGCTACCATTAAAAATTAAAATTCTTATTTGATATTACTATGAATTAAAAAATACCAAAACTTCTAACTTCTCATTGTAAATACTTTTGTCTTCTTTGATTGCTTATATATTTGTAATTATATTTTTCTTATTAGACTGGATTAATATTTTATTAAAAATTTCTGTTAATTTTGTGGAGGAGATAAAAATGTGATGTGAATAAAGTACTACTACTACTTTTAATTATGCGGAACAACTAACATTTTATTTTATTTAATAGTTGAATTTTTGTGTTATATTTCTTTATTCATATTAAATGTTCTTATATTTTTAGCAAAGTTTATGTATCATTGAATTTGTATTGTTACGCTAAACAAGTAATGAAATTTTAAAATACGGTGTAACGTCCCATATCCGGACGTCCCTTTTCCGGAAGGATCGATTTCCGGGACACTTTTTAACAATCAAAATAAACAAACATCTCTTCATCTTCCCCTTTCTTAAAAAAAAAGGTATTTTGACATGTTTTCTCTTCTAGCTTGCACTGAATCCCTGATTTATGCATTGAACCCATAAATCACAAAGGGGAAGAGAAGATCTACCAAGACCATTGAGTGACCATCAGTGACACTCCTACTCTGGAATGCAGGAAAAAGAGGGAGATTTGTTTTCAAAAGACTGCAACTGAGTCCCCTCTCCCCTCCTTTCCTATGCAGCTGGCTAGTAAAAGAGGCATTTCCTGGAACCTTTTTATTGAAAGAAAAGGGTAAATGCCACCAGCATTAACATGGAGGGGGAGTCAAAATGGAAAATTTGAATAGGTCTAAAAGGATACATGTCCTTGAGAAACATTCCTTCTTCCCCTGACTATGTCATATTTAGGAGGTGGGGGAAATAAAGGGGGTAACGTTCTTTCATTAGCAGATTCTTTCAGTCATAGGAGAAAAAATAAAGAGAACCCCATCAGCGTGCCCCGCCTTTATGCTTGATTGATGGCCAATGATTGGATTGGAGAGAAAACAATAATTTGTCCCTTCTCCGCCCTCAACTTGAATGATCTCCTCTTTGCACTTATTTTCTTTCACAAGTAAGGAGGAAATGAATTTTTCTCCTCCACCTACCCACCTTAATGAATGACAGGAATTTCCCTTTCTTGCTTGAATCTTTCCAGTTAAAAATGGCGGATTATTATTTTCATAACTGTCAATTTTTTTTCGTTTTCTATATTTTGAGCAATAATTTTTTTCTAATATTTCATATTTGATTGATTGGATAATCTAATACTAAAACATTATTCCCTTAAAAATAATGTTTATTTATTTTTTGCTTCTTAGATTTAGATCATTTTAAGCTTTGTTCCAGAGTGACGTGAATTTCCCCTTCCTGCTTGAATCGTTCTAGTTCAAAATGGCGGATTAATATTTTCATAACTGTAAAATTTTTTTCGTTTTCTATATTTTCAGCAATAATATTTTTTTTCTAATGCATATTTTATGTTTGATTGATTAGATATTCTAATACTAAAACATTATTCCCCTTAAAAATAATGTTTATTTATTTTTTGCTTCTTAGATTCAGATCGTTTATTCGATCATTTTAAGCTTTGTTTACCTTGGGGATCTATTATACGGACTTCTGGAAGTCCCACCAATTCCGGATACGCGACTTTACACTGTAGTTATATTTTTCTCTGAAATATTTTAGCTAAACTTTCCAAAATGGCATGAAATTCATGATTATGCTCACAAGTTTATTATACTGAATATTTAGTATTTACTTAATATAACTGGATTTTTAAAATATTTCTTTCAATTTTTATTTTGAAGTTACTCAATTTTATTTTTTTATTATTATTTAAAACTCGTTTTTTCAGCAAGTACTGATTGTAAGATTTTTAGCGTATTAGTTTTTTACATCCTAGTATAATTTTGAAAACTTGTACTAAATTTAAGATACTCAGCATCTATAATTAAAAGTTTTAGAATTTTATCGATTATATTGTTTTTAATATTTGAAGTCTGAATTATAACTCATAATGTAGTGTGTAGTTTTATTTTTTAATTACAGGCTTGAAAGCTGAATGGAATGAAACTCATGGCAGCAAAATTAAAATCCGTTCAGAGCTATACAAGAAGGGCTGTGTTTCAGACATTGATGATGGACTAAGAGTATGTTTTTGTTTACATATTTTTTAATCCATGTGTTTAGTGATATAAATGTCTTATTTATTATTTGCTTAGTTTCTGAAGAAAATAATTGAAGTTTTTAAAATATATTTTTATCGTTTGTCTTTGTTCTTCAATTATTTCATCAAGTGAAAAAATACCTTGTTAAGTGATCAAATAAAAATGATTGAGTCTCATTTATGACTTTTTTTTATTCTGCTTTATTTGTTCCCTGATTTTTTTTTTGAGTTTAAAATCTATTTGAGTTATTGTAAAGTAAGATCTTTTGTTTACATTGAATATAAGCTTTTATTTAAAAAATTAAAGTTCAATTAAAATTATTTATTATATTTATTTTATATTATATATATATATGTATATATATTTACATTACTTGTAATACAACTACTTTTGATTTATCAAAGTGATACTTTCATTGCCCTAGAGTTCTCCTATGTAAATAATATGCTTAATTTAGCTGCTTAAGGGTAACAGGAAAAAAAAAACGTTCTATTGTATAGACCAGAAGCTCAGCAGGAACACAACAAATCCATGATGATGAATATTGAAATGAAGTTAGAAATGAAATTTTTTTACCAAGAAGTTTTTTTACCATATTATGAAAAGTATAAAATTTTACTACTGTTGCGAAAAATAATTGCGAACAGGTAATAGTAGAGTAAAGCTCTCCTGTAACAGCCAATTGTCAGAAAAAGGGTCATGGAGGTTAAACCTCCACAATTTTGAGACAAACAGCATGATAGTGGCAGTATTGTGAGCCTGCTGCCTCTACTTCTCAGACTAGCTGAGACTCCTGAAACTGAAGCTGAATCGACTTCAAGCTGCCACAAAAAGTAAATGAATAAATAAATAAAAACATTTGAATATGATATAAGGAGCTATGGTTGTCTACGCCGTCAAAGAACACTTATACTTATAACTTAAGACTACTTTGGAATTATTCGCCTTTCATAAATTGCAGGTGTGTTGCATGCCTTAGTTTTTATTTTTTGTTTTGTTAATTTATTACAAAATTGAAAATATTTTATGTATGTATAGCTTTTCTACTGTTATTCTATTATTATTTTTTTAAATTTAGATTGCTCAAGAAATTGGTTTTCCAGTAATGATTAAGGCATCTGAGGGTGGTGGTGGAAAAGGTATTAGAAAAGCAACAAGCATAGATGATTTCCCTACACAGTTTCGACAAGTGAGTAATTTCGTAAAATAATTACAGTTAATTTGTTAATTCTATTTTAACAGGCTATTTTTCTTATTTATATGTTAACATTATTCATTACCTGTTTGAAAAATATTTTTCCTTGACGTGGTTAGAAATTTTTCTTTATTTTTTCAATAACATAAGGTTTAGTAGTGTATTTTCAAATATAAACAAGGAATAAGCAATCGTCAAGTAGTATGTAAAAGTAAAAATATTAAAAAAATGAAATATTATTTATAATGCTCAGTCATGTCATTGTTTCTCATGTCTTTTATTGTGATAATTGCTATTTCATCAAAATAGGAACTGAAGTACGAAAATTATAAATAAATGAATGTAGAAGTAATTAATAATAATGTTACATGATAAAATATTTTTAATTTTAAAATTTATCTGTTCAAATCATTAATGTTATAGCAGTGTATCACCACACCATTTGTGATTCTACTGAAGAAAATAAAATTAAGTCTTAAAATAAATAATTTAAATCTCTTACCGTATTTTCTGGTAAGAAAGCATCGGATCGTCGCAAGCGCCGCACATCAATAAAAAAATACATTTACAAAAAGTTTTCATAAGCGCTCCTCCAATGTAAGCTCTGCAGAGGAGCTACACCGTGCTTATCAGCATCCTTATAGAAAGAGACCTTTAAATTGTCATTTAGAATATCTGTATAATAAAATTTTTTTTTATACATTTCCTAAAGTAAAGTTTTAACTTCTAAATTGTAAAAAAAATAAAATCTGTTAACCGGTTCTCTCACTTACTGTTTAGGCAAGGCTGAAACTATATCTTCGTTGATACGGGTTAATTTGGAATAAGCTTGATTAGTAAATAATCCCTTTAAATGGTCTAAAAATAATGTTAAATACAGCAAAATATTTTTAAATATAAATGATTTTTTTACATTACAGTATAGGACCCCAAATCCGGCACTCACGGGACCGACGAAATTCCGTATTTTGGAATTTGCAGAGTTTCAGATCTCTTCTGGAAATTCCAATATGGCTCCCATATATTACGATAATTCAATTACGCTGTTAATTTCAGAAAAACCAATACATTTAGCTAACCAATAAGTTTCAATTGTAGATTATGATGGGGTGAATTTAAAACTGTCCCATCTTTAGAAATTTCATTAATTAAAATAATAAATTTCATTAATTAAAATAATAAATTTCATTAATTAAAATAATAATCTATATGATATAATCAAGAAAAAATAATCCGTAGGAGAAATAATTCAAGATGAAATAATCCGAATCCTCCGAAAAAGAAATAATTGTTTCTTCTTCAGCGCGAGATCATTGTACTCGTTTTTTCTTTTGCATAACATTTTGTTTTAACAAAAGATGCTCCCCTCGCAAAAAGAAAAAAAGCTAACAAGGAACTACAAATAAAGTAACAATTAATGCTAACAATGAATAACTACAAAAAAGAAGCAAACAACTAATAACGATAAAAAAAAACAAGTTAACAAGTAACAAGAAAAAGTAACAGTTAATAAGTAATAAAAAGATAAATAAATCAAATTTAAAAAAAAGCAGCAAAAGGGATAGAATTCATCTTGTACACCAAGTAAGAAAGAAGTTTCAATGTCAAAAGGGTGTGGGTAATTTATGGTGAAACAGGAGAGGGAAATGTGGGGATAAACCAGTAAAGCACTTGCACAGCTGTCAAAATTTATTGATCAGTTTCTCCCAACTTGCATTTCTTTATTTTGTTTATTGGAAATGCAGATGTTTTTACTTTTCCACTGCTTTAGGAATAGATGTTTTGTTTGACACAGATTTATTATTTTTTCTCTTAATGTTTTTATTTTTAAAAGAGAAAATATAGTTACTTACTTCAAGAGAAAAAAATTTCAAATAAAAAGTAAATATGACTGATTTTTTTTCTTTTATAAATAAAAATTTCTTTAAAGAAAAAAAAATTGGTCAGATCAAGTGCCTAATTTCGGGTCCTGCCGGATTAGGGGACCCATACTGTACTACATATTTACATTTTATAATTATTTTTTATTTTATTTTATTTATTTATTTTTTCGAAACATACCTCTTTTATTTAACTAAGAAATCAGTTTATAAGTCGCACCCATAACAACGATGTAGCAGCAAAAATTAAATATATTAAATTAATGCTTTATAAATATTACTAAAATTTAAAATTAAAATATAAATTAAAGTATAAAATGTGTAGTCTAACAAAAGGAGGAATCTGTTATTAAACACTTTGGACAAACTGCTCAAAATAATATTTTTACAATCGGTAATCACTGGTGGTGCCATCTCTAGGTTAAGAATTATATAACTGACTTACATTGCAACATATTTACATTTTACAACTTAAGTGGGTCGCATCCACTTTGCACACTTTTTAAAGTGGGTCGCATCCACTTAAAATTTAGTTTCACTCAAACCCTTCAAATTCGCTGCATTCAGAATCCGAATGAAACAATTGAAGCAATTCTTCATCCAATTCAGCATCATCATTATTTTCATCTGTCGGATCACATTTTTCTTCGATAGAAACACTCAGGATTATTTCCGCCTGCAGAAAACCTAATTTTATATTGTCCAGAGAAATTGCTCTCCAAGCTTCTGAAACCCATCAAGCTACTTCTCCATATGAAGCTCTTTTTAAATTTCCGTTTTTTGTGTACGATTAATTTTCGCCAGCCATCCATGCCTCCCAAAGTTTTCTCATGTGGCTTTTGAAACTTCTATTTACTGTTAAATACAGCGGCTGGAGTATTTTTGTTAGCCCACCTGGGATAACAGCTAAAGAAGCTGAAGCTTTTTTTGCTTCATTTTTCACAGAGTCCAACAAATGTGCCCGCATCGAATCCATCACAAGAATGCCACTTGGCTGGAAAAATGACCCTTTTCTTTTACGTCAGACTTCATTAATCCAGTCAATTTTAATAATTTTTTTCCTAGTCTGTAATATTTTCTTAGTACATGAAAACATATTTCTTTGTTAGGTGCAAACTGAAGTTCCTGGATCTCCCATTTTTATCATGAAAATGACTACATGTGCTCGTCATCTTGAAGTCCAGTTATTGGCTGATGCCTATGGCAATGCTATTTCATTATTTGGAAGGGACTGTTCAATTCAAAGAAGACATCAAAAAATAATTGAAGAAGCACCTTGTGTTATTGCGAATCCTGATGTTTTTGAAAAAATGGAAAAAGTAAATAAAAAGGAAAAAGTAATAGTTGTTAACTAATAAAGTTTAATTTGATATTATGATAATTCTAAATATTCATTTATAGGCTGCTGTTAGACTTGCAAAAATGGTAGGATATGTTAGTACGGGTACTGTAGAGTATCTCTATGAAGATGATGGTAACTTCTACTTTTTGGAACTGAATCCTAGACTTCAGGTAAATGCTTGTTGTTTATAAACTGTTAAAATATTTAATTACATTTTGTTTTAATTTTGTGATTTTTTTGTATTCAGGTTGAGCATCCATGTACAGAAATGGTGGCAGATGTCAATCTTCCTGCTTGTCAACTTCAAGTTAGTTTCTTACATGTGTTTAATTAAATAGTTATCATTCTTCTTTTTTTTAAAACTGATCTGCAAATCAATATTTTATATTCTATTTTTTGATAGTCTTGATTTGCTTTAAATCCATGTGGAATTCTGATAGGTTTTTTGTTGCAGTTATAACTGTTAATTTTCACATGATTTTTTTTAAAATCATAATTTCATTATGATACAAGAAATTCAAATCGTCACTCTGATTATTCACTTATCTACAAACTAATTCTATCTTTTTTCGGAAATTATTACAGTAGAAAACCAATTATCCGGGATGCTCGGGACCATCGCTATCCCAGATGTCTGAATTTCCCGGTTTTCTGGATCGACCAAAAAGTGTCGTTAATCGATGTTTTATTGAACCTGAATTAAAAGGAAAAAGTGTAATGCTATCCCGGATGTCTGAATTTCCCGGTTTTCTGGATCGACCAAAAAGTGTCGTTAATCGATGTTTTATTGAACCCGAATTAAAAGGAAAAAGTGTAATGCAAAAAGTAAGAGAAAAAAGAAAGTACTCCTAACTTTAAAAAGAAAAAAGAAATGGTAGAAAAATAACATTTAAAAGAATAAAAAAATTTGCAAGTTTAGACAAGAAAAACAAGTTTAAAAAATACAAAATTCTCGTATTTATTTTATAAAAATAATTACAATTCCTAAATTAACTAATATAAACAAAACCAATGGTTAAATAACGCAATATATTTCATACCTAATTATACGGGGGAAACGATAAAATAAAAGGAAAACTTATTAATCTAAATAAAAACACTTGAAAATTATCGAACCGAAACGATAGTTAAAAAAGGCACTAGCATAAATATTAAAACCCGGAACAAGGCAAGATCAACGGAATTTTAAAAAAAACCTAATGATAAAATTTTATGAATAAAAAGAATTTATTGAGTGCGAAATTTATCGTGAAAAGAAAAAATATCAAACGTAGTGGAATCAGAAAAACAAAACTGCAATCTGCTTTATAAAATAATCCTATGTTTAAATTAATAAACAATTCTCCTTTTATTTTTTTTTTGTTCATAAAAACATGATATTTAATTACAGCAGATGTGATTCCACATCAATAAAAACTTGCAAATGATACCGCACTTCCAAAGAGTGAGAATTTATTCAGAAGAAAAAGATTTTATTTTTATTAGCCGATGTCAAATAGATAAATATATTTTTCTATTTCATCTTCTGTTCACTGATATGCATGCAATGCATTTTCCCCACCCCCCTCGTAATCAATCAGAAAACGAAATCAGCATGCCACACCCTTGAGCTTGATTGACGGCCTAAGGGAGAAAATAAAACATTCCTCCCTTCCCTGCCTTCAAGGTCACAGAGGAAATGAGGTTTCTCTGGGTAAACGGTGAAAAAAATTCTCCCCTTCCTTTCATTTTCCTCTACTCAACTTCAAGGATGAGTTCAATTTCCGCTTTTTTTCATAATCGTTCTATTTTAAAATGGCGGGAAAACCGATCAAAATTTTTCCCGGTTTTCTGGTTTCCCGTTTATCTGGATACCGGATAAATGGTTCTCTACTGTATTACTGATTTTCGTATATATTTTAAAATCTCTATATTTATATAAAATTTTTTCTCAACACATGAATTTCGAAATGTAGATTTAAATAACCCATTTTTGACGCGTCCGATTCATGCGATTTTGTCGTGTTTTTTTCGTGAATCTATTTTCAGTTACTGCGTGAGTTTGATGGTTTTTGAAATCCTTTTTTTTTAATACTGGCAAATAATGACTGGCAAAGTACAAAAAAAAGAGAAATATGTAAAATTTTTTCAATATAAACATACTATTTTCTGTGTTGATTAGAAAAAATTTCTTAGTTAAAAAATGTTTTCTTTCTCTCTTCAAATTTTATAAATGTTATTTTTGTGTATAAAAATGAGGCTTTTATTTATCTATGCCTGAAAAAAATTAGTGCTAAAAAAATAACTGCACATTAAAAAAAAAAAAATTAGCTACTTTTTCCTAGCAATCATATGTTACATTTCTTATTGTATCAATGTATAGTAATTTAAATAAATTTGTTATCTTATTCTTTGTAAGGTATTTTATGGTACAGTTAGAGCTTGAAATACCCGATGGCTGAGTGATAACGCTTCGCACTCTCAAGCTACAGGTCCTTGGTTCGATCCTCGGGCCAGGCAAGGTTGACTCAGCCTTTCATCCCTTTAGTGGGTCGATAAAATGAGTACCAAGCATGCTTGGGGACTAAATACTGAGGTTTCCGCTTTTGTCTGACCACCCAATTGGAACATTTGCTCTTGCACTCCAGAGCCCAAGGTAAAAAAAACTGAGATGGGCACAGTAGGCCTTAGCCCTTGTCGAGCTGCTGAATTTAGTTTTGTTAGAGCTTGACACTCTAGCATGAACAATATTTGGATAATTAACCACTGAATGCGTAGGTTATTCACTATACTGTATTTTCTGGAATAAGTGCATTATGAAGATAATTTTGTAGTTGAAGTGGTTGAATAATTGGAGTTGAAGGTTTATGTTGATTATGGCATATATCTGTACTTCACAGTTTAGGATGGGATAGTATAATTTTTCATATAATCATTTTAGATGGTTTACATAATAACTGTAGAATAATAATAATAATATGTTATAAATAGAATAAAATAGTAAAATATATGTTGGAAATAGATTAAATTGTAGACGATGAAAACGGGATCATTATCATAAGAAAACTTTTAAACAAATTTAATACTTTGTTAATTATTGTGAAATAGATAATTTTGAAATTTTTTTTGTATTTCAGATTGCTATGGGAATTCCTCTATATCGTATTAAAGATATTAGACTTTTGTACAAAGAAAATCCTTGGGGAGACAGTCTTATTGATTTTGATAATCCTCATCATAAGCCTCGCCCATGGGGACATGTTATTGCTGCTCGAATTACTAGTGAGAATCCTGATGAAGGATTCAAACCAAGTGCTGGAACTGTTCAAGAATTAAATTTTAGGAGTAATAAAAATGTGTGGGGTTATTTTAGTGTAACAGCTTCAGGTGGCTTGCATGAATTTGCCGATTCCCAGTTTGGTCATTGTTTTTCATGGGGAGAAAATAGAGAAGAAGCTAGAGAGTGAGTTAAATAAGTTTTAATTATTATTTGATCCTGTTATTTTATGATTTTTGTTCTAAATTTTTTATTTGTCTGCAGGAACCTTGTAATAGCTTTGAAAGAATTGTCTATTAGAGGAGATTTTAGGACTACTGTAGAATATCTAATAACATTGCTGGAAACTGCTGATTTTCAAAGAAATTGTATCAATACAACTTGGCTTGATCACTTGATAGCGGAGAAAGTTAAAGTAAGTTTTCCAAATTTTTCTTATTTTGTTCTAAACTGCCTGGAATTAAATAATTATACTGTAGCAAGATACATTTTAAATTTTTTTTTAACAGTATACACAACATCAAGCTGTGAAATTGTTTGATACAGGATATATATATTGTAGTAATTTGACTATACATTTTCAATGTTATTCATAAAAATATGCAAAAAGTAGTTATGTTTGATCCAAGCTAATTTTTCTTACCATCTAACTATTATTAAGTACTTACTTTTCATTTCTGAAATTAAATTATTTGAAACTGGTATGTTTTCTGAGGGTAAACTATTTTGGCAATTTTTTATTTTCACCAAAATCCTAGATGATTGCCAGTGTTTTAGTTTGGGAAATTGTTGCTGAGCACAAGACTTGCACAAAAGAAATAACATTTTAATGCAAGGATAAATGAATGAGAGTCACTGGGTGAAGGCGAAGTATCATAAGAAATTGATTATAATGTACAGGTGGCAGATTGAACATTTACATATGCATGAAAGATTGAACAGGCTTGGTTGAACACACTGGTTTTTCATGATTAAATATGTCATTGGAAAAAAATGTTATTAATGATGTTTGTGAGGAGCTGATGTTATTGGAGTTGTTTTGTAGAAAATTATGGTGCATTGTGTAATTTGTGATTTGGCAATCTTTTTGAAAACTTAGCTTTTCATGGTTATATTTTTAAGTAATTAAACATTCAAGTGGTAAAATGAAATTATTGTCAATAAATATTAAAATGAATTTTTAAAAGTAGACTGGTTTTTAAACAAAAATTTTGAAAGTGAAATTCTGTGCATTTTCAAATTGTTTTAAGTACTTTATAGTTTAAAGACATGACTTTGTTTACTTGTATTAATTAAAAAAAACAAAGATTCAAAATTTCCTAATTAGAACTATGCAGGGGTGCTACGCCTGCGCCATTTGCGACAAACTGAGACAAAACGGCATAACTGCACCATTTTGCGACATTCAGCTCAGTTTCTGCCAAAGTTGCGCCATTCTGAGACAAAACGTCCAGAATTTGACACACCTGAATTCAGTTTCAAATATTAATCCGCATCGCCGTGAGTCATTGGAGAGCATTTTGCCGTTCACGCCTCCTAAATATGTCATTTAAATGTCAGAAATTCCGTTTGGCGAATCAGCTAATGGAATGCATATAGAATATGCACTTCGTGTCTACAATTGGATTATGTACAGCAGTGAGTAGCAATCAGTATCGTATGCACGTGATCTTGTAAAAAAAAAGAGGGTATTCTTCCCTTATACTATTTGTTGTTATCTTGCTTTTTTTTCTTAGGAAACTGTACAGTGCACGTAATTATGTCAGGGATGAAAGACTTCTGCGAAAAAGCGGAAATCCGCTTTTTTCTCCCAATTTTTAAAATTTCCGACCATGTTTCAAAAACTAAAATTTTTAGGGAGTTCAATTAGAGAAACCCAAGCCTCCGGAACGATAGTCGGATTACCGCGACTACCGCTATAGAGTGGAAAGGAGTCTAAGCGTTTCGTTTCGACCGCCGATATTTGTTTTTTTTTGTTTGGCTGATTTTCAAAATTTTAAATATTAGGAACTGCGCTGGAATATGCTAAAATCGCGATTTTTAATCAGATGATTTTAATATCAATCATCGATTTTCGTATTTAACTGATTTAAAACTTACGTGTTGCGATTTTTTTTATGCTATTTAAAAATCGTACTAGCAATTCCTATTCACTCAATTTAAAAATTCAATATCGCAATCTGTATTCTCGCAAGTTTAAAATCCAGCGTCGCGATTCGTATTCACGCATTTTTAAATCCAATATTGCGATTCGTTATCACGCAGTTGTAATATCAGATCTCGTTTTTCGTATTTGTACGCTATTTTAAAATTACTCATTGCGATTCGTATTCACGTGATCAAAAAATTATGCATCGTGATTCTTATTTACGCGATTTAAAAACTAAATATCGCTATTTGTATTTTCGCGTTTTTAAAATCCAACAGCGCGATTCTTATTCACGTGATTTTAAAATTCAAAATCGTGATTCATATTCACGCGATTTTAAAATCCAGCCGCACGATTCATATTCGGGCGATTTTAAAATCCAAAATAGTGATTCATACTCACGCGATTTTAAAATCCAATATCGTGATTTGTATTTTCGTGTTTTTAAAATCCTACAGCGCGATTCATATTCACATGATTTTGTAATCCAAAATCGTGATTCACATTCACGTGATTTTAAAATCCAATATCGTGATTCATATTCACACGATTTTGAAATCCAATATCGCGATTCATATTCACACGATTTTGAAATCCAATATCGCGATTCATATTCACACGATTTTGAAATCCAATATCGCGATTCATATTCACACGATTTTGAAATCCAATATCGCGATTCATATTCACACGATTTTGAAATCCAATATCGCGATTCATATTCACACGATTTTGAAATCCAATATCGCGATTCATATTCACACGATTTTGAAATCCAATATCGCGATTCATATTCACACGATTTTGAAATCCAATATCGCGATTCATATTCACGCGATTTTGAAATCCAATATCGCGATTCATATTCACGCGATTTTAAAATCCAAAATCGCGATTCATATTCACGCTATTTTAAAATCCAATATCGTGATTCATATTCACACGATTTTGTAATTCAATATCGCGATTCATATTCACGCGATTTTAAAACCCAAAATCGCAATTCATATTCACGCAATTTTAAAATCCAGTTTCACGATTCTAGAAAGAAGTAGAATTAAGTTTTTTCTTGAATTAGTTACTGTAAAGATGTGATATATTTTTCTACAGTTGTTGCATTTAAACAATTACTAAGTGCATTCATAATCACATTTTATGATTGTATATTTAGCTATATAAATTAAAAGAACATAGTCAACTAACTAATCTTGTGAATGCAAGAAAGTACAATCTACTAGTCAATGCCAATAAACTAAAAAGTTTACTTTTATACTTAATAAAGGATGCAAGTCATTTTAGAAAGAAAATTATATTTATATGTGTCTTTTTAAATTGTTTATAATAGTTTTTAAATATTTCTGTTTTGATATAAAAATGTATATATGCTAATTTTTGGCTATTAAGTGCTCCCTAAAATTTTCTTGAAAAATTCCTACCTAAAATATTTCAAAATTTCACTGCACCTCCTGAATTCTATCAAAGAGGGTTTTTTTTTGTGTTATTTGCATTTTCTTAAACTCTCATTATTTAATTACTGAATTTCTCTTTTAATTATTGAAATCTGTAGACCTTTCATTGTAACTGAATAGTTATATATTTTGAGATGAAATTTGAGCTCAAAATAAAATGGGTATTTTCCCTTTTGAATTACCAAAACTAAATAGATATTTCTCTTTAGAAAGGTTACACCATTATATTTTAAAAAATAAGAAAGTTAAAATTTACTTTGTAAAATTCTGGAACAGATACTATTCATTGTCAAATGATAAATGCAATATATATGAAAACAACAGAGTCCACAAAACAATTTTGTGGACGCTTATAACAAATCATGTGCAGGTTTTTTAAAATCCTAGCAATAGTGAATGTATGTATAATTGTAGTACTCCTAGTATGCTATTAATGGTTTTATGGATCCTGAAAATTATCTTTATATTGTTATCAAACTGATTAATAGTCATTTTAGCTGAGACAAACTGAGCCAAAAAGAGATTTTAACTGAGACGAAATGCAATTTCTGGTGAGACAATTTGATATTTTGCGAGTAGCACCCCTGACTATGCTTAGTCAATGAAAACATTCTTTTTCACTCAGATTTTAAATAATAAAATGTCAGGAATTGTTATTTGATGAATGGGACTGCATCTTTTTCTTATTAAAAAAAATAATTTTATTATTTTCCATTTTTGTTAAATATTAATATCTTAGTCATTATGTGGGTGGGGATATGTAATTGAATTTGATACTTTTAGGGAAAGAGGGGAATTTTTGTCATATATGTTTGTGACATCTTGCTTAAGCAAGAAGTACTCTTATCTGAGTGTCATGGTTATGATAAGCTTTAAAACTGCATTTATAATAATTTCCTTGTTAAATTAACAAAAGAAAAAAATCCACTGTAATATTTTTAATTGTTGAAAAATAATTTTTAAAAATGTCTTTCAAATCATTTTTTTATTGGCTCTATTCCAGATAAATCTAAATAATTATTAAAATCATTGTATAAATAGAGGTTTACTTTCTTCCAATTAATAGAGAATCATCTCTCTTAGGTAAATTTTTTGTCTGAGTGCTGGGATTATGATTAGCTTAAAAATTGCATCAAAATATATTTAGTAATTCTTTTTTGTGATGTTAAAAAAAATGCAAATTTAATAATTTTATAATTAGTAAAATTATTAAAATATTTAGTTAAGTAGAGTTTTATTTTCTTCAATTTAATATATTTAATTGTTAAAAGTAGTGTTTAATAATGATTGCATGTCATAAAATTTTTTTTTAACAGTCCTGATCTATCATTTGATAAATCGGTTTTTCTTCAAATAAATAAAATAATCTATTAATCTAATGTTCCCTAAGAACCTCTTCTTTCCCCTTATTATTTCATTTTTTTTATTACCTCAGACGTAATTTCTAGTGGTGTATAATTTTGTTATTGTTAATGAGTCGCTGGAGAGTGGAAAACATTGAGTTACATTATTTTTTTTAAGCTACAAGAAAATTGGATAGTGAAGTTTTTATAGACAAATCATGTATTCCGAAATGGATTGACTCGCAATTTTTAAGGTAGTATTTCTACAAATTCAACGTTGTTTATTTATTAATTTTTTTAAAGTCTTGCTATTTTTTTAATTGTTACATTGTTTTTTTTAATGCTCTATGCCCCCTGATGATTTTGACTGCAAAATAATGAATAATCTAGGCTTACATATTTTTATTAATATTTAATGAGATGAATATTATTTTTAGAATATAATCACAGTTACACAAAAAGTTAGTTTAAAATAATGAAGCAAGCTTCATTTTATTGATTTTAAGAATAGGTTTTTTCCTAGTAAGTGAAAGACTTACTGTTAATATTTTGGAAAAATATTTATTGAAAAACCATTTAAAATTTTGAAATCTTTTTTGTGATCTAGTTTTTCTAATGATAGTGTAGCAGGTATGACTATTGGTTTGTATGTTTTTTCCCCCTTAATTATTATGTTATTTTTCGATTGCACAAATCTACCATGGTTGTGATTATGAATTAAGTCGCTGTTCTAACATAAAAAGAGGATACTTTGTTGTAAAGTATTTTTTTCAAAGAAAGGTGAGGTTTGTGCACTGGTTAATTATTGAAGCACTTAGTCTCAGGGTAAAATAATACTAAAATTTCTCTGCTGCATGCTATTCCTTTAAAGGGCATGGGGAAAATAGCTTTTTTTCCTTGAAGGAAAGCCTCCAGCTTTAAGTTCAGAAAAAGCTGAGACTAATGCTCAAAGGGTTAAGTTGTGATCTGATTTTCATTATAGAATAACATCTCTTGTTGATGTTCTGTATCATGATAACATTTAAGTTATCATTCATTAAATTGTTTTCTTACAACCTAAGTCAAAGTTTGAGTTATAATGAATGTTCTAATTTAAGAACTTTATTAATTCTCTTTTAAAAATGTGGGGCAAACTTAATACTATATAATACTAGTAATATGATTAATTATTTATGCATAATTACAGGCTGAGAAACCAGATACTACTTTAGCTGTTATTTGTGGCTCATTACATGTAGCTGATCGAACTATTTTAGATAATTTTCATAACTTCCAGACTTCATTAGAAAAGTAAGATTTCTTTCTCAATATAAGTCAGTTTCCTTGCTTGATTTTGTTAAAATATTTTTGATTTGCAACTGTACTGTAAATAACTAATAGATAATTTTTATTACTTTTGAATTACTTTTGTTGCCTCCAATGTTCTCTTGTGATTTATATAAAAATCATAGTTACCTAACCACTAATATATTATTATTATTTTTTTTAAATAGCGTTTTTGCTAAAAAAAACTGTGTTTATTAAATATTTATTCCTCTGTTCTGAGAATATTTGTTATGTAATTGATAAACTAGTAGTTGTTAATTTTTTAAAAAATTTTATTTTAATTTTTTGATAACTAATACTTTTTCTTCAAACTTTTTAATTTTTAAAAAATATGTTTCCAAGCGTACTAAATTCGTCCTTGTGCCTCTGGTCTTAAAATTTAGGATTTAAACTAGGGGTACGCAACCTGTGGCCCGTTGACTGTTGATGTGTTACCCGGGGCTGCTGAACAGAATATTTGTTTTTTTTTGAAAAATAAGAAAATTGTGAAAGTTTTGAATCGCATATTTGAGTTATCACTTACTTTTCGATGTGCTCAATTTGCACAGATTTTATTGTTTCTCGATCACTTTTCAACGTTTATTGCTGCAAAATTCTGCATGGTTTTAAAAAATCTGATATTTTAAATATGATATTACGATGCATGAGTATCGTATTTGAGTTATAATTTTTTGACTTGCTTTCTTTTTGCCAATTTCATCATAAATCCACGTGACTTTTTTACTTTTGTGACTTCCATGGGTTTTTTAAAACTCTGATACATTTATTATAGTTGACTCTTGAGTTATAAACCATGCATTTAATTGATCACTTTTTGACATGCTTTACTTGTACTAATTTCATCCTAAATCTAAATGATCTTTTCTTAAAAAGTAGTTATTGCTACGCTTTTCCAGGTGATATTTAAAATCCTGTGTTTTTACTACAATATTATTACAACACACGAGTTTTAAATCGCACATTTAAATAACCACTTTTTGATGGACTTTGTTTTTGCCGATTTTATCGTAAATTCAAGTTATTTTTTAATAGTTTTTCAGCAGTTTTTGCAACACATTCTCACGTGGTTTTAAAAATTTGGATTTTATTACGACGTGCAAATTTGAAATCACGCATTTAAATAACTACTTATTGATGCGCTTTATTTATGCTAATTTCATTGTAAATGTAAGCTTTCTTTTGCAATTATTGCGATGCATGTGATTTTGACGATAATGTAACTTTAACTATGATGATATTACAATACGTGAGTTTCTAATTTCGCATTTAAATACCCCCTTTTTATAATATTTATTTGTGCATATTTCATTGCAAGTATTTTTTCGATGTTTTCAGCAGTTAGTGTCATGCATTTGTAAGTGGTATTTAGAATCCCGAATTATAATACTATGTTATTGCATCCTGAAAAATTGGAAAAGTGGAAGAAAACGCGAATTTTTAAACTGCTCACTGTTTGTAATTTATTTTGTTTCAAATTTTTCATTGCTTTGGTGATTTTTTTTTTAGAAAAAAAAAAGTTTCTTACTTAAAATTCATAAAAACTCTAATATTTCAAGAAATATAAAAAATATATAAAGAACTATAATTTCAAATAAATATTGAGTCTATTTTGTTCTATTTTGCTTTCCCAATATTATGTATATAAATATTTAAAATAAATCAATTATTGATAAAAAAGGGAAAAATTTTTAGGAAAAGTATTAGTTTTTTCATTTTTGAATGAATTCTAATGATTAAAAATACTTAATTTTCAGCAAAAATTTAATGCTTCAAACACTAATGTTTATCTACAAATTATCATATTGGGCACCAATGTAAATAAATATCCACGCTGCCCTTCGTCAGTCTACCTGCTGTCCAAGTGACCCTTCACTCAAAAAGGTTGTGAGCCCCTAATTAAAACTGTAATATTGAAATGCAAATAAAATAAAATATTTTGTGAGATTAATATAAAATTAATAAAAATTTCATTCTAATATATTTTGCATGCACATAAGGCATATAACCAATTTTATTTAGTTTTATTGTTAAAGCTGATCTTCATTTGTTGTTGTCATGTGAAATAATGTTTTTCAGTGAATAATGTGCCATTTTATATAACTTCTGTGAGTTAGTAAAAATTATTCATGACTCTAAGGTTATATTTTGCAACATCACAAGTTTCTTCAGCCAAAACACTCTAGACTTATTATGTAAATGATGCCAAATGTCAATATGGGGAAAAGCTTAAATCATTTATTTTTGCCATCTGTCATCTCATAGTTGTTCTTTTTTAATTTTTTTTATTTATTTTTTTTTATTGCTTCGTGTGCATAACAATGATAATTTTTTTCTGAAGCTAAGCAACTGACAAAATACATACAGTATATTTTTTCCTTAAATTTAAATGCTGTGTCATAAATAAAGCCAAAAAATTCTGTTTTTGTTTCTTATTTTGCTGACTTTTTATAGACTAATATTTCTAAACCCAATGTCAAATAAATAAATAAATAAAAACTCAGATTTTGTAGAAGTGGATCACAATCTTTATTGAATGTTATTTTGATTAATTAATTAGATGAGTGCATGATTATTTTTCTTTGACCTATAATGGTCAATGCAATGATGACTAACTAAGATGCCTGAACCATTTTATCTTTCAAATACAGTATTGAAATTATTCAAATAAAGAATTTAAATATTCAAAGAATAAACTTCAATATTTTGCCACAATCTTATTTTACTATAAAATAAAGCAGATTATACTAAGAAATAATTATCCCTCCAGCTTTGATCTCCTGTGCAATACTATTTAAATTTTTCTATTACTAACTACTTTCCCACTGAATATCATGACAGTTGCAGTCATTTTTACCCAGTAAAGCCTCAGACTAATGCTGAGAGAGTTAACACATTTATATCATGTTTAATAATAGTAGTTAGCAGATATGAATCATGAAACATCGGGCATGTTATCATCTGCACTGAATTTAATGATGCACAGCTTCACAAGCAGAGAAAAATTTCTTTATGCCTTATAAGCCATATTGAATTTTGTTTATAAAGCCTAGAGATAATTTAATTGCATAAGGTCGGATAAAATGATAAAAAAGTTGGTAGCCTTGTCCTCTTGTACACAAAGTGCTATTTAAAGCTTTGCTTGAAAAAAAAAAAGATTCAATACTAAAATATTATCATTTAATTAAAAAAAACTGCTTTTCAATTATTTTTTAAAATTAAAACAATGTTTACTCAAACTTTGAATAAAAATTTATCATTGTACTGTAGCTGATATTAATTCCTTAGCTTTTTGTTATTGATTTTTAATATTTTTTTTTTCATACAGAGGTCAAATACTGCCTGCAAACATTTTAAATAACACTGTTGACGTTGAACTCATATATGATGGAGTTAAATATCAAATTCAGGTTAATAACATTTATTTTATGCTTAGTATTGTGATATATAAAATTAAGTATTTATGCATAACGATGTTATTTCAGGTTACTAAATCTGGTCCCAATCGATACTTTCTAGCTCTAAATAACTCGTTTAAAGAAATCGAGGCACATCGTCTAAGTGATGGTGGTCTTCTTTTATCAGTGAATGGTGCCAGTTACACAACTTATGTTAAAGAAGAAATTGATCATTACAGGGTAGTAATAGGAAATCAAACATGTATGTTTGAAAAAGAAAATGATCCTACTATTTTAAGGTTAGATATTTTTATTTACGCTTTTATATTAGGTCTATTATCTCCAGCAAAATTTAATGTATGGACATAGGTTGATAAAATACAAATAAAGTAATTTTTCTACAGTTCTAATACAGAGATTGTGTTTAACACTCATCAGAGTCAGAACACTTCTCTGTTGCTAACTATTTTAATGTTTTTGGACTCTACTGAACCATGCATGGGGAGTTGTGGTTCTCAGATTCTTTCAGTTTAATTTATCCAATCATTGTTCAAGCAAACTCTATGCTAATGTGCATTGTTATCCATTTAAATGAAATCACGACCCACTACCCCCGAGAAACAAACATAGTAAGAAGGGGACAATATATGTTATTTATTCGATCTAATAGTTAAATTCTGTAACCACTGTTTCATCTATTTCGACTTTGATGAGTGTTACTCGTGATCATACATGTGTATTAATCTTTGATAGTTTATTTTGTTGATATTCAATAGATGTGTGTGGATAAACACAAAGGGTTATAACTGTTAAATGGTTATTTTATTTTTACTATATCAACTTATATTCATAAAAATTTTTATTAAAATCTGCCCAGTAGTTTTGGAGATAATCAACTGAATCTGAAAATTCTCCTAATTTTAAATACCAGTTTATTTTGAAGCATGTTTTTATTAAAATGATTTATTTTGATTATAGATCTCCCTCAACTGGTAAGCTAATTCAATTCCTAATTGAAGATGGTTCACATGTATATCCAGGCCAAGCTTATGCTGAGATTGAAGTAATGAAAATGGTTATGACACTGACCGTTAATGAAAGTGGCTGGTATATGTTATTTTGCTACTTCTTATTTATTTATTGAGCATCGTATTGTTTTTAACTTTATTTTAAATTTTTTAGTATTCATTTTGTAAAACGTCCTGGAGCAGTACTTGAAGCTGGAAGTATTTTGGCTCGATTGGAGCTTGATGATCCTACTCAAATGAAGCGAGTTAGTATTTTATTTACATATTGATTTAATATAATATACGTATCAATATTGAATAAAACCAAGTTTTTTTTAAAAAAATTTTGAAAATATGAGAAGTAATAGAAAAAATATCCAATTTTGTTGGAAATTAAATAAAATTGTATATTGCCAATTTTTACGTTTTACAGACACAAAGAATAAGAATTTTTAATTCATTGCTCTACACATTTTTTACATATAGAGGGTGTTTCCATTGTGCATTTTCTGCAAACATATTTTTTCTAATTTTTATTTCTATAATTCTTATAATTATAAGAATATATAAGAATTATAATTCTTATAATTAATATTTCTCATAAGATCTTGTGCTGTCTTGATTGTTTCGACATTTTTCTGGGTAAAAAGTAACCTTAGTTAAAAATGAAGTAAAGCTATCAAAATAAATTATTAGCTACTTACCGAAACTTTTAGTTTTTGTCACTTTTTCTTACACGAAAATGCCAATCTAAAGTTTTAGGTACTTTCTTGAAATTTGAATTCACAATTATTCTGATTGAACTAACTATACAACAGTCTTTGCAGAAATGTGCAACTTATCGAATGTAAAACGTTGACCACACATTACATTGTAGTTTCAGATCTGATAACCTTATAAAGCAATAAATTGTTCTCCCGGTCAAATGACCGGTTGTGGTAGAAATAGGTATGCGACAAGTATTATTCGAAACAAACAAAATGCGAAAAATAATAGTAATAGAATATTAACTGTATATAATTGTTATTAAAAGTCATGAAGTTAAATGTGCAAAAGCGATAAGATGATTTCCGGATTTTCAATGTAACAGTTCTGAAACGGTCATTTGACTATTAATATCTTGTCAAAAAATGCATATTGTTCAAAAAAATCTGAATAGCCAAATGTTCAAGTTATTATTTAAAGAAACAGAAGAATGCACTGCTGAAATTCTACTGTCACAGTGACTTAACGAAATTCATGAATAACTGTAAAACATTACACGAGCCAGAAAATCTAAATTTGGATGAAATTTGGCTAATCTGATGGCAATGGAGCAGTGAGAAAGTGTCGTTAAATCATTTTCTAATTATGAGAGTCAAAATGTATTCGTCTAATGGGACAAATTTTTTTTTAATGAACACAATATTATGTCAGTGTGTAAAATGTCAGTGTGTACTTAAAACAAAGAAAAGTTACTCAGATGTTTATACCTATAGTTAAAAAATAAGTTTTCTCTGCATTTTTTAAATAATTTTATCTAATTTTAAATATTTTTTCTGGCATCTAATTTCTTTGAAGTAAGTTTCGCTGTTAAACCTAACTCTGGTTCAAATTCTGAGCCATTAGTTTTGTAAGGAGAAGGTATCGATTTTCGGCAACTTTCCGATATCCAGAAAATTCCCATTGACTTGACCAAGAGGTTGGCGAATTATGAATTCCATACTGTACTTAAATTTATCTAGTGGTGGCTATAGCATTTTCTTTTAATACAATTTATAATATAAATTTTCTTTTTTTAACCAAATTGCTGTGAAGGGTTACAGTAGTCATAGTTTATATCTTGTGTGATTTTTTTTCATCATTGGTGCATTAAAAGTTTATTTTAGGCATTAAATTACACTGAAACAACTGTTAACTACGGCATAAAGCTAATTGAATTTTTTATAGGCACAATTATTTACTGGAGTTCTTCCGAATGATGATTTTCCAAGCTGGCATGGTGATAAACTAAATCAAATATTTCAAGCTTCGAAGCAAGAACTTGAGTACATTTTGTCAGGCTATGCTCTTCAAGATCCTTATTTTATTACTAAACTTTCAGAAGCTGTCAATACATTTATGCGTTGTCTTAGGGATCCTAGTTTACCTTTACTTGAATTGCAAGTAAGTAGAGCTTTGTGGTATTGTGCAGTGCTCTTAAAAAAAGACCATAATCAGGGTTCCCACGGTACTTGAAAAACCTTGAAAGTCCTTGAATTTTGTTGAAAAAAATCAGGGCCCTGAAAAGTCCATGAATTCCGCCATAGGGTACTTGAAAAGTCCTTGATTTTTTTGGAATTAGAATATAATACTAATCTTTCTTGGAAAACAGTAGTAAAAAAATAATAAATAAATTCAAACAAAAATTATAGAAATTTTGGTAGATGCAATTTTTATTGCTTGAAGGGAAAAGAGGTTAAAGAAGATACAAAATTTTTCTCTCCTAGATTTTCCCTTCCAGATTATTGTTCACCTCTGATGTTTAGAAAGCTGAAATTTCTAGCACTTACTTCACATTTCTTATAATTTTGATTTGCATGTAGTATATCTAGATGTGTATAAATGTGATTTTTAAAAATTACGCATGTTCACGAAATTTAAAAAATCACGCTTCACATTTTATGGATCCATTTTAAAGAAAACAAAGCTTCGTTGGTCTTAGTTATCTGTAAAATATTGTTCTACAATAGATTTTATTGTGTTCAAAATACATTACTGATATTCCGAAGTAACAAAATCGATAATTTGTTATTAAAATTGAAATACATGTGCTAAATGGATATATTTTATATAATTATATTAATTTCTTGTAACCTAAAATTTGGATTTCAATATTAAAAAAAAGTATTTATATTTTAATAAACTTGTAAGTACATAAACTTTATCAATTATTTACTATGCTTGTTTAATGTAATATTATTTTTCATTAATTCTAATTTACTTCATCAAATTTTTCATGAAAAGTTTAACTGATGCTAGTTTTTAAATGTTCACTAGTATCATTTGTTAGTGTCAATAGGAGTTTTTTTAGTCAATTTATGTCAATTGGAATTTTTCAAAGTGATTTGAAGCAGCAATATAACTATCAACCATTTACATTAGTAGCTGATAAATTAAATTATTATAAATATTATTATTTTGTCAAATAAGCATTGCGCTTTGAAAATATACAATTTCTGCTTCGACGTAATTATCAAATCTGGTTGACATGTACTTTAGTATATTAACTGTAATACTGAATGGATCATTGAATAATTTGAGTTTAGGTCCTTGAAAAGTGCTTGAATTTTTTTTCGAAAATTGAGTGGAAACCCTGATCATAAATAACTTTTGATCTAAAGATCGTATCTTTACATTCAATTTTAGGACTCAATTTTAATGGTTCGGAGAAGTGTCCTCAAATAGGCTAATTAAATAGTGCAGACAATATTTTAAGTTACGAAATCAGGCATATTTTCTTTGAATAAACATACCTTTTTTATGGATTTAGATTTTTGACTTCCAAAATATGGAGGGATTGTAACAGCAATCTGGGAATTATGGTCCTAATATTTTGTTAAGGATAGCGATCCAAAGTTTGGACCCCTTAATGTTAATTTTATATTTTGCATATTTCACCATATCTTGAACTTTTTAAGCAAATTGAAACAATTTTGCATGAATTTATAAAATTCGTTTATACAAGGATAGTTCCATGAAAAAAAATACTTTCAGTAAATATTTATTTTTTATTTTATCTAACTAAACTCAGTGGCGCGACAGCCCTAGAGGGCCAAGGCCTACTGTGCCCATCCCAGTCAGGTGTTCCGGTCAGGTGTAATAATAATAGTAAAAAAATTTTTAATTGTGAGGTTTAAAAATTTTTGCATCATTTTTAAGAATAATTTTATGTGACAAAGTACAAAATTTGTACAGAATCCGTCGAATAGCTTGTGAAAAATCTAATTTTAAAGAAGTCTTATATTTAAAATTCAATTTCTCTGGAACTGTTCAACTAGTTTTGTTCAAATTTGGTACTATGCCATCTAAAATTACATTCTTTAGAAAAATAAAAAAAATGTGTTCACCTTACAATGAAAAATTTTTTACTCTTAAATAAATATTATAAATTAATAAATGATTATTAGAAATTATTTTTTGCATGAAATTGTCTTTGGATAAATGAATTTTATAATTGTGTGCAAAAACTTTTCAGTTTTCTTGAAAAATATTTGATATGGTAACAAGGGCGGCGCCAGTAGGGGGTCAGGGGGAGCTGGAGCACCCCCGTCGGGCATGGCCAGCCCCCCCATCGGGAAAAATTTAAAGTCTCGTCGGGAAAATAGTCTGGTCACATTTTTTTTTTCTAAAAAATGTCAAAAATTCATTTACAAATGCCTAATAAAAATTTTTGTAGTTGACTTTTTATTTATTTATTTTTAAGAATTAGTAACAAAATTTAGTAAAATATATTGTAAATTCTATGTAATTGTAGTTTCACTGCACTACTCCTAACTTTGCTCATACATTGTTAAACTAGAGTCCGGATGCGATTAGACATGGTTGAAATTGAAGACTTTTCGAAGACCCATAGAAATCCTTTCCCCTCAAACACATCTTGATTTTCTTGGAAACTTATCTTTCAAACTGCTATTCTTTTTTCTCGAGAACTGAGGAGGGGATAGATAATCACCCCTCTTTACTGGGAGAATAACTGACAAAAGCCTGAGGGACAGAGAGAGAGAGGCAGGTCCTCTTTACAAATTCTTTTTTATGTAACATGTTTATTAATGGTTTATGGGATCACATAATTGCTTTGTGAAATTTTCAAGCAAAATGAAAGTAAAAGAATAAAATAAAAAAAATTCAGTTTTAATTTTTTCATTTTTTTAATACTTTTAAATGAGGAAAATCATTTACTTATTCGGATTCAAGGTTTATATTTTAATCAACGCATTAAATAAGCAGTCGGAAAAAA